TCCCCGTGTCCCATTGTGGTGACATTGTGTCCCACCTGGATGACACTGTCCCTGTGTTCTTCCATGGTGACTGTCCATGTGTCCCACCTTAGTGATACTGTCCCTGTGTCCTTCCATGGTGACACTGTCCCTGTGTCTCACCTTGATGGCACTATCCTCATGTCCCACTGTGGTGACACTGTCCCTGTGTCCTTCCATGGTGACACTGTCCCTGTGTCCCACCTTGATGGCACTATCCCCGTGTCCCACTCTGGTGACACTGTTCCTGTGTCCTTCCATGGTGACACTGTCCCCATGTCCCACCTTGATGGCACTATCCCTGTGTCCCAGTGTGGTGACACTGTCCCCGTGTCCCTCCATGGTCCCCGTGCCCCTGGCTGGCCCCAGGGCTGAGCTGTGGCAGAAGAGCTGATGCTGTGAGTCAGCGGCGAAGCAGCAGCTGTGATGCCCCGAGGATGGGTTGGGTTGGGTGCTGGTGGCAGGGACTGGTGACCCCAGTGGGTGAGGGATGGGAGTGAGCTGGTGCTTTTGCCCTGGTGCTGCTGAGGACCTGCTGTAGGCAATTAATGGCCAGAGGAGGGTGGGCTGGAGCTGGATGTCTCCAGTGAGAGGCTCTCATGGGGATGTGCTGGACACTGTCATAGTGGGACAGTCCCAAACCACCATGGTGAGCTGGGGATGGTCTTAGGATGATGGAGTGAGCCTAGGCCATGGCATGTGGCACAGTGACAGCTCCCACAGGGCCAGGGATGGCTGGGAAGGACACCCAGGGACAAGGACAAGAGTGCAGGGAGCCTGGGGCTGAGCCTTGTGTCTCTTGTCACCACCCTGACCTGCCTCGGCCTGGGGCTGAACTGGGGAGGGGACAGGAGCCAAGTCTGGGGCATGGGGCAGGTCCTGCCTGTTCCCAAGGAGCAGCCAGGCTGAGACACCCTCTGGATGATGTCCCCAGCACAGAGGAGAGTGCTGGGTCACTTCTCTGTGCCATCTTTTGGCTTCCACTGCTGGTGTTGCTCCCCAGGCTGGTGTAAACCTGCATGGAGTGACAGGGAGCAACACACCCATCTCCTGCCTCTCCCGGTCACCGCCGGGGCAGGAAAGAGCCAAGGCTGGACAAGGTGACGCAGTTTCCGTCCCTTCCTGCCTGTGTCCTGCCTGGGAAGTGGCCACTGGAATTGGCCACTGGACCCCGTGACAAGGACCATCCTGTTGGGTCCATCCATAGGAAGGAGTTTCCCAGCTAGGGGCAACCCCAAGGCCGCGGAGCGAGGAGGGAGACGCGGAGCAGGCGGCAGGATTAGACCCTGGGGTACGGGGGACGCCCTCGGCTGGGTTTGTGGGGGGCTCAGCAGGCTCAGACCTGCTCCACTGGGGTGTTCCCTGAGCCATGAAGCAAGAGGAGGGCTGGCAGGTAATTCCTGCCCCGGTGCCGCCGCGGCTCCCAGCCCCATTCCTCCCTAATGAGCCCTGGGAAGCGGCGGCTGCGGCGCTGAGCAGCCCTAAGGCCCCAGGGCCATAATTGCCACCCCAACCCACGCGTGGGGGTGGCAGGCCCAGGGGGGCAGGTGGGGCCACCGGTGTGGGGCAGGCACAGGTGGCACAGGGGGATTTTGGGGGTGATTCTGCACGAGCAGTGATGTGGGGAGATGAGCACTCCAGGCATCAGCACCATCGGCTTTTGGCTTTTATAGGGAGGGTGGAAAGGGTTGTGGGGACCCCAGGGCTGGTGGCAGTGAAGACCTTCATGGTACCATGATTTTTGGCATCCTTGGATGGTCCCCCAGCCCTGCACCCATGCC